TAGCACCAGGTAACCTATCTTGCATGGACTGCCATCGTCTGTCAAGGCTTGTTTTTCTGTATTTCACCCAGCCATGGGTTTGCATGTTTCTCCTATATTCAAATTGTGAATCGATCTAGTTTGGTTTCTGTTAAAGAAAAGGTCTTGACGATTACTCTTAGGTCTACAGAAAAATAATTCTTTATAAAATTCATGTGGACTGTTTGGAGAACCACTGTAAAAGATTTTTTTACTATTTTATCATACTGTAATTAAAACTACTGCTCTAGCATTAGCACCATAATTTCAGTTAACAGCATTTGGCAGAGGTTAAGAGACCCCAGTTTAAACACCCAAGAAATCCTTTCTGTTATGCAACCACTTACTGGAAATGTCAGCAAGAGTGCTCATTTTTTCCACCTATCTGCTCCACTTCAGCATTAGTGGCTTTCTAAATTTGCTGCAGTCCACTCTAACATATAGAGTGATCTATCAGTCAACCAGAAGTTTGTAATGCTCAAAACATCTGAGTCTCAGTCTTGGCCTGGACCTGCCTAGCCTGTCCTCGTGCTGTTTTATGCAGCCCTTTTCCTGCTCTTCCACGGTAACACAGCCTGATCTTGGGTCACAGAGGTCACAGTATATGAGCAGACATCTGGACCGGCAAACTGGTCTAACATCACCATAGGGAATCAGAGGAGTCAGTTTTATCGGCGTGAGAAAGAATCCAGAATGACAGAAGGATGTCGTAGCCGTTTTAACAGCCAGAGTAACTTTTTCTCCGTTATCCATACCAAAGCTTGTTCCTTAACCCGGGCTATCCCAAGTCCAGTAGACTTCTTGGTGCTGGTGAAAGCCACCCTGGCCTGCTCCAGATCAAGCTCTGGGAGCCTGCCGTGTCACAAGCGCCAAAGGTTTATCACTTCCCCTCTGCTCGCATCTTGCATCTTCTTCTCCTCGACTTTATTTTCCTATTCCTCTCTCCAAAGGTCTGTCTTTATGGGCCTCTTCCTGCCCCGCTCAAACACTTTATTTGGCAGGCACTTTTGTTCAAAACGACTTACAATAAGTGCAAACCACGTTGGAGCAAGAACTAGTTATCAAAGATTTGGAGTGTATCCCAAATAAATAAAGGCATGTTCAGTGCTTAGACATCACGTGTCATACTCTTTGTTTTATACTCTTTCTTCATCAAACACCCTTTTTACTCTGTGAGAGTCAGTCACCACTGTTGTCAACAATGTGTGTTGTTAAAACAAGCAACCACTGGATCCAAAAGGGACCCTTTCATTTTTTTGGTTACACTCTTTGACCCTGAAGCACTATTGGGTGGCTAAGGTCACGATTGACCACATTTGCCATGTTGGAGCGTTTAGGTCGGAAAAGAGCTCTTAACCTCATGTACCAATGCAATGGACTCTTACCATTTTTATGATCCTGCTCATTAAAATTAACTGTCTAGCTGTAAAAAATAGATTTCCCCTTTATTTTGCCCACTGGATTGTCTTATTCACTTCAGATCTAACATGAGAAATTGCTCAACTTTCATCCCTCCCTCCTGGTGATTCAGTTCTTCTCCTTATTCAATCATATTTTGTCTCTCTCCTTTTTGTTGAAGCTCTTGGCATTCCAGCAGGGAAGGCATGAGCAGATCAAGGCTCTCACTGTAGCAACCAATCCAAATACACAGTAACACACATAAATCATAACGTTCATACTTGGAGAAAATTGCACAATTTTAAAAATATTGCAGTATAATATCGGTCAAACGTTTTAGAACACCCACATTTTTCCAGGTTTTATTGAAACTTCAGCAGTTCAAGTCCAGGGAATCACCCTAAATGATACAAAGGTGTAAATTTCCCTAGAAAATTTTCTTTCTCAGTGATTAAGAAATTGGTTAACTTATAGCTTACCTGCAGCAGTGGAAGTAAATGAAGCCTTGAAAGTTAATGCAAACAACTCCTACAGGTGGCCCAACTTTTGTTGAAAAGGTAGACAGACTGTTTGGTCAGGGGTTCGTCCTACTGCAAGATAATGACCCAAAACATCAGAAGAAAAGAACGAGCAGGTTGTTTCAGCACAGTCTCTAGACTTAAACCCCATGGAACTTGTTTGGGATGAACCTGACAGAAGGTGAAATCAAAGCAGCCTGCAAGTGCAACACATTTGTGGAAACTCGCCATGACTATGTTCGGCATCTGAATGAGTCAAGAAATTAAGATTAAATTGAGGTTTTAAGATTCCATGTTTCCTTTTTTTTTTATTTCTTCTGTGCTTTAAATTCAGAATACACTGCGATGTTACACTATGTTAATTTCAGTAACAACAGGAAAAATGGAGGTGTCTAAAACTTTTGACCAGTGGTGTATAGCTAAAGATAACTACCTGTTGTAGACTAGGTCATTACTTCTCTATATAGGGTGTTAATTTATATGTTGGTCTGTCTGAACAGCTATAAATATGATTTCATATCAGCCCCTATTAGACCCTAAATTTTAAACGAAGCAAGTCATCAAAATGCTTTAAGTGCCACTGAGGGAATACCCCTCATTTAATAGGGCATATTTTTAAGAGATCTCCTAAAAGCTTGGCCTACCCCTTTTAAAAGTAAACCCATCAAGCCTCTGCCTTTTGATCAACCTAATAACCCTCCCTACCCCTTCCCATAGGCATTTTTTTAACACCATCATTAATGAGCCTCACCTCAACATCTCGTCTCTCTGGGGTGACAGCCCGTCTTGTTGGTCCCCAGTTCGAGCCCATTACCGTCGGGGTCTGGGAGCGGACACGGCCTTGCAAGGCCCTCAAACACTGCGCTCCTGTCCATAAAAATACAAAGACTGGGGCTCGAGCCAGCCACTCCGCCCTCATTTACCTTTTTGACTTCTCTGTGGACGCCTAGAATTTGTACTTTTATAGGTGGTGGAGGTCAGGTGGACGAGTTCTTCAGGATTATTTACCCCAGAGTGCTTGTCTCGCTCACAGAAGCACCAACCTGCCCTCGCCTTCACCCTCACCTGGGCAGCTCGAGGCCTGTAAAGCTCAAACACAGGGAGAGTGGGATGTGGGTAAGAAGAGGAAATAAGGGGGGAGTCTTGATGAACTCACAGATCTCATCACCTCTGAGTGTACTCTGTCTCCAATATTTTTGGCTGACGATTGAACGAAATGCTCCAAGTGGTATGTTTTAAAGAAGCCCCAGGGTTTTCCTTGGGTCTTCTGTCTGCGGAGTTTACGATCCGCATGGCTGACTCCCAAGGCCAAGTGAATCTGCCAGAGCCGTGAAGGCTATCTTTTGCTCTTCTTTAGCCAACCAGTATATCTCCTTATTCACTGAGGCCTTATGAATAGAAACTAGAGCTTTTTGTCTGTATAAATCCTCTAAAACAGGACATTTAACCAGGACGGCTTTGAGTCTTATTTTTCACTGTTGGTTGCTGTGAAAATCAAGATTAGCAGCTTCCTAGCCAGGGGCCTGACGGTTCCCCTGCTGCCACAAGTTCTTCTGGTCCTCCCTATTATCTCCCACTCCCTGGGCCTTGCTGTTTGGTCCCTGGCTTTTATGGCAGGGTAGGAGAGGGCCATGAGGAAATGAGGTGACCCTGGGGTCACAAGTGGAGTCAGGGGGCTGGAACCGGACCACAGCCTTGGCAACCCCACTCTCTCAGGGCCGGTTCGGGTCGGGGCAGGCAGAGCAAAGGAGACAGGAGGAGACTTGGGACTGGGTCTCTACCATCCTTGACCCCAGCGTCATATGCCTTTAATTAAGCCAGATTTGAATTTGTTTACAAGTCCCAGTAGTCTTAAATCTTCCGGGTCTTTGCCCCCCCCTTACCCTTTATTCCACCACCCCCTCATACCTGGAGTCCTTCTTTTCTTCTTCTCTTTAATATGGTGTCAGACATCTATTTATTATGCTGTTTTAACTGGTTTTCAGGAACGGGTTACAAGCTATTTGGGAATCCACCAAATAGGATTTGAGGGACACCCCTCTAAGATGTTAATCTGTTAGCGATATGAAAGGCCGCTCACCCCACTAAACCCCCCCTCCACTGGAGCCCGGGGGCTCTTTATGGCCCCATCAGGCACCCGCATGGACGACTTACTGCTGACCTTGTGACCTGGCAGTTGAAGCCATATGAGGAGGGAATCTTTCTCTTGTCCCGTTACCTCCTACTCTCTTCATCTCTGTCTCTGTTTCTACCTTTACCTCCTCTCTGTTTGTAAAGATATTTTTACATTTTTCAAATTATCATGTTTAATCTGTGCTTTTTATTTGTCGTTTCATTAGTCGTTATCAAGTGTATAATCCCTGTGTAACTGCGTCTTACCATGGCCATTTAGTTTGACATGTTTTTTGGAGTTCAGGATCCATGTCGAAGCCATATGGCAGTATATAATTAGATCTCCTCCTATCCCCTTAGTGTACCAATACCTGAAACTCTTTATCTCCAGCAGGCACCATTTATATTCATTCTTTCACCCCCAACTAGTCTCTCATGTAAAAGATTTACACGCAGCTCACCAGCCTTTATTAGGGAGGTACCAGCGTGTTTGCTATACAACAAAAAGTCCTTCGACTGGCTCCATCATATTAAAAATTTACACGTAACCGAAGAGCTGTTACAATTGGCTTACTAGCATGTTAGCAGCTGAAAAGCTTGCTGCAAAAGACCTGAACCTGGGGAGTTGGGTGGCTAATTGGATCGGTTGGGTTAAATAAATGTTTGAGTTCTCCCCTGCGCTGGGGGGGACCTGGTGGAAGGAGCCTCTCGTTTTAGCAGAGGGGGAAAAAAGACAGATGAAAGAGAGAGGGAGGGAAATTAAGGAGAGAAACGACCTCAATTATGATAAAGATCAGGTTTGTTCTGCGTGCATTTTACATACAGGTGTAACAAAGTCAAATAAAAAACTGAAAGATTTGAGTTACCTGTAATAAAGGCCTTATAGACTCGATGTGACTGATGTGTGTAATATTTAGAATGATAGAAGCTTTAATGAGAACTTTGTCATTGCAGATTCCAGATCCAGAGGGGAAACAGTGACCCCACCAGCTACAAGAGCCTGGGTGATTGCTTCCGGACCATCATCCGCAATGAGGGGTAGGTTATCCACAACAGTTGTTGCCGACTACAGGACAGGGAAGGAATAGATTTTCCTTCCTTACTCGGGTGGCAGAAGGCTTATGTTAAAGTGGCAATGCAATAATAATTACGTTTATTCACATTTAAAATACTCTCTCAATGGGTCATTTGCAGCAAGTGTGTTTACAAACAATTCATTCACACGTTAAAATTTCTTTTTAAATATCAAATATGATTTGATATTATGAAGTATAGTGTCCAACACCATGAAGGCACATTATGTGTGTGTTTATAGATGTAGAATTATGCACTACACAGTAAATTAATCCAACTGGTTATTGTGTAGCTTCTTTTTTGTTATCATAAATAATCTGTGTTGTGGTCAGAAGGTCAGACAGCTGGTGTGTCTGTCAACAGTCTACAGAAAAATCCTGCCGCAAGCCACTGAACGTGCCTTATCTCACAGTGGATAGGAGTACAGCTCTTATTGCCTTAGAACCTAAATGTTAAACTTTGACAACTAACTAAAGACAGTGATCCCGCCACGGTCCCTCCTCCTCTGCCTGCCTTGTGACAGGTCTGTGAGACAGTGCAGGCGTAGGAGAAAGTGGTTGCCACTCGCTCTGTTTACGGCGAGTCGACAGCTTTACAGCGGATATAAAGTTGATCTGCTGTGAGGTGTGAGCGAGCGCACAGTGAGAGGCCGGCTAGGGACAGTTGGAAATCCTCTGTTGGCTGTAGTTCAACAGACGCAGCCATCCTGCAACAGTAGCTGTGCCCTCTTCACCCCACACACACACCCTCACACTAGAGTTGAAATTTAATGCCTGTTTGCCTGCATGCTTTTCGGGTGTGCCCTTTGGGATTAGTATGAATTTCCACTGTCACAATAAAATGATGGCCAAAACACACAGCATCCACACCGTCAACTATGAAATATATTAAACTGAAACTCATGACAAAGAACCACAACCTGTAACTGAAAGTCCCCACAGACGGAAGATTCACTTTTCGTGTCAAACAATTATCACTAACAGTATATTTTCGCTGAGTCTGTAATCACTCCCCAGTAGCACATTGAGGATTACCTCCAGGCCAAACCACTTAGTTATAATTTATACAAATAGTGTTAGGCCCCACTGTTGTAGAATTATTATTAAAAATAAACATCTCCCTTCAGCTGATGGCAGGACCGAGCTAACACCAGGCCTCATTCTCTCTGAGGCGATGAGGGAGGAAACCTGAGCTCTCAGTTCGAGCGTGGTGATTTAACTGAAGAAAGAAATGGAAATGTGCACATGTAGGATCCCATCTTGTAGTCACTCTAAACCCTGGACATAATAACCAGGCCTATAGACTGTGCTCTTATATAGTAGCAACACACATTTGAAACATTTATTGCTAAGAAATTATTTTTTTCTGTCAAAAACTCAACATTTACATTAGGTTGTTATTGAATCTGGAAAATTGAGCATTACATCTTGTAGCTGTGCACATAAGTGTGTTACAGTGTGAACTATGCTCACCAACACTTGGTTGTATATTGCCTTACAGGCCCTCTTTTCTGTTGCATGTGGGTGCAGCAGCGTGAGCATGTGTTAAGTGTTTCCGTCTGGAGGCAAACAAAAAGACTCTATTCTCGAGCATTCTTTACCAGTGTGGTATCCAGAGACTGGGTCGAGACCCAAAGCACGGCCACGGGATTATTAAAAGGGTCCACGCATTACAACAGCGTGCGTTGGCCTTCGTACAGTAGATCAATGAGTAATGCCTTCAACTAACGGTGCGGGATTGGTGGGGGTGGGAGCTGACTCCAGCTGGGACCACCCATGCAAAAAGTATACATTCATGGAAGTGTGAGGAAGTGCAGATAAGCGTGTCCACCAGATTACATATGTTTTGCTATAGTGAAACAGGCATGGTTCGAATGAAACAGCAATCAGGTTAAAGCAATAGTTCGACATTGTGGAACGATTTCTTATTTGCCTTCAAGCCCAGAGCTACATGTTATTTTACATCTCAGTTTTTGTGCGGATTAAATAGAAGAGACATTACGTGTTAATGAGCGAGCGTCTGAGGAGCTGGTAGGTGGATGTTGTTGTCTGTCTTTGAACAGAGTCAGGTTAGCTGTTTCCCACTGTTCTCCGGTCTGTTCAGTCAGTTGGCTGCAGCTTGTTATTTATCGTTCAGACATGAGAGTGGTATCAATCTTCCCATTTAACTCAGTAAAAAAATCAAATATGTGTATATCTCAAAATTTCATGTCGTGCCATTCTTTTGACAGTATGTTATAAAAATTCAAAAATATGAGCCTGTTTGAGTTTTAACTTCTTCAGAAAACACGTCCTCCAGGTGTGATCCACTGCTTTACTTTAGTAAACAATTGCACTTTCCATATTTAGGTCAAAGTTCAAAACATTACAATTAACTGTATCATCTTATGGATTACACCAAATTTAAAAAAAAAAATATATATATAATAGTATATGATCATTTGATCACCCAAAATATGAACTGTACAGCAGGAAAGAAACTCCACTTTATAAATAATTATCAGTTATTTCCCCTTCCACCAAGTCAAAAAATTAGTCTGTAGCTTGTGAATAAACAATATTTATCTCAAGATGTGAATAAGTCCATATATATATATATATATATATAGGTCCAATAAACACCAGAGTAAGTTTAGATCCTGTAATGCACAAAGTAGAGACGCTTGTTGTTTGTGCTTTTATCCAGTGAACCCTGGCCACTGGTGATTCTGCCTGACTGTAGTGACAATGTCAAGGTTACAGCAGACACTGGGAGAGTGCAAATATTTGCAGATGAAGCATGCCGGTTGTTTACATGTTAAAAAGTTTCCCGGGCGAGCTCATATTTCTCAAGGATTTCATCATGGCACTGCTGTGAAAAATTAGCACAAAAGTCTGCTGCAGACATTAATTTTGTACTCTTTTTTTTTTTTTTTTGTAAATGATCTGTTACTTTATTTATTTATACATTTCTACCACTAACAAGTCAGAATTTCTGTCTGATGGATAATATCGGCCAGTTTATTTAATCAAATGTGTCTGTGTAGTTCTGTCAGTGATACCCTCCTCACCAGATGGATGGAGGCTGTTAAAAAAAAAAAGGAAAGGTTTATGAAAATTTAAGACAAATCATACACACAAGTGTATACAAACACACTCTCCACACACACACACACCCACTGGCGTCAGGAGGTCATTTGTTTAGGAAAGCCAAAAAGGGACTTAGTGTGTACTTTACATTGTAAATCAAATTAGGATTCAAATGAATGGCACTCACTAGAGGCCATATTTGTTCTGTAACAAATTTCACTTCTCTTTCATCACCTGGTGGCTCCTCAGCTTGACCACACCCGGTAAATCTATGGCCACCATTTGCATGGACAAAGAGAGCATAGGGAAGAGCCTTCCGTCTGACTGAAATAACTTGTTTACACAAAAGATACGAGGGTCTCATTTTTGGCTTCTGGTACCAGTTGTAACCTTGCGAGGCAGCTGGATCTCTCGCAAACGAGAATCTATCTTCCGTCTCTGAGCTACTCACTTGTGGCTGAACCTCGGTGGTTCAGACCAATCAGCGCCCTATGAGTCATCTTTGTTGCTTTCCTACTACGTCATAAGATAAACAGATGGTTCGTCCAATCACTTTTTTTTTCTTTTTTCTTTTTTTTTTAAATCACCTGCCCTTTTCCGAACAGTTTCCAACGAAGTCCCAAAACTGTTCTGTGTAACAAAGCGTCAGGTTATTCCACTTGTGTAACTTGAGTTGTCAATGAAATTGGTTGTCTCTGTCACCTGATGACAAGTGTTTTAATAACTGGTTGTGGTTCACTGCATTTTTTGGACAGAAGCCTCACTGCTGTGGACTCTAGGCAGGTTTATTGCCTGTCTGTCTCAGGTTACATTCAGTGGAAATGTATACCAGCAGCAGAAATATTTACACTTGGAGTCAATCAACCAAGATCATCTCTGTTGACTTGTCGAGTATGTTGCCACAACAGAGCAGGTGCCACTGTTCACAGGATACAGTCGGTCATGCCACATTGTCCCCTTTGTCTACACCTGTGTGTAATATCAATATGCACTGTACTTTGTCTCTCTAAGTCACCTGCAAGCAACTTAGTTGAAGAATAGCTCTATTTTGACTGCTTATGAGCCATGCCAATGACTTTGACGCCCTCACTATACTGGTCCTGTGCATGTTTACAGAGAAATTATATATTTATGCCACTTTTCATTCTTTAATTGCTTTAAATTATTTTGATGGCTTAAAAGAAAAGGCTGCCGATAATATATATATATTTATTACTGTTAACATGTCATGAAAAGATCGAAACCAGAAATGTGTTAGTCTGTCTCTCACTACTATCCAGCTTTCCCACTCTGTCTGGAGCTCTCAGCCCAAACCCCATTCATTCTTACCGAACATATGCATCGTCAAAACAAGGACTAGGACTATGTTCAGTCACAGATTAATACACATTTGGTTCTTTAGTAAGTATTTACATCAGCGGGATGTTGTATTTGGAATTGACCCAAAACAAGCTACAGTGCCCATGTTCATCTTAATGAAGGAATGTAAAGAAGGAAGGAAGTGTGGGAATCTGAAAAGCTTTTGACATGTAATCTTGTTATAGAAATAGGGTTGTTCACTTTTCCCTCCGCTCCATTAGAAATAAATGGACACCTTTACTCATTTTGTTTTGTCTGAAATCAATATTACGAATTTATGTTTTTAGAAACAGTGGTTTTACATATTATGATTTACTTCACAGTTGCAAAATTTGTCAGACCTACTCCAAATAGTGTTTATACATAGTGTGTGGTTCATATTTAGCTACTATATCATGTTTACTCATGTATAAAATGCACAAGGGAGGAGATAATTATGTAATTGATGTCTACTGTGTCTGGAGCATCTGTATTTAGTTAATGAATGTGAGAAGATGATGTTGTGTTTCCTGTTCCTGTTTCCCTTTTGTCAAACCCTGGGAAACAACAATGAGAACACAGGAAAAGTAGTTTGCTGTTTCCAGTAACAGTTTATCAACACAACAGCTGACTCAAAAGTATTATGGGCTACAGGTGTGCTGTGTTTCACTCCTGGGCCCTAAACAACAAATATGACTTCTTCCATTGTTTCCTATTGCCCAAAAATATCGCAGATAGGTAGGGTTTGAAGATCATTTAAGTGCCTGCATAATTTTCTTTGATTGATATCTTGTCTGACATCATCTGCCCGGTCCTCTTAGTGTAAACTACACAAGTTCACCCATTCCACCCATGTTTTCACTAAATTGAGGAATGCATGTGTACGCACTTCTGAATGTATACGAAACATTCTTTGTGCCATCATTGCAAAACAGCGAATGTACTTCTATCTTCTTACATGTATACATCAAAGACTGGTCATGCAATAGTGGGAATTCATGACTTTCTCTTTTGTTACATTTCCCTACTTCCCTCAAATGAGTGAAAACAATCTCTATAAAGAAAAATGAAATGTAGTTATAATATGTTTTAGGTTAATAAGTGATTTATTTTCTGTAAATTATATAGTTTAAAATGGATAGAATTATAAATAATCTGAGGACTTGAAGAGGGAGATCATTAAGACATTTGTGTACAATTTAGAAACATCAAATAAGTGTCTTTTAACAGGCGTATTAAAGGGGCATCAAACTGTCCATTTACTCTGTTCATATACTCCCTAAAATTGATTTCTAACAAAATACAGCTTGTGTTAAATGTAGGCATACATCTCTATACACATAACTCACTGTATCATTTTATTATTTTTCCTGCCTTCAAGTACGCTGTAAATCATGGCTGAATGTATGATTGAGCAAAGGCAAACTACCAAATTGACTAAAATTATACAGCTACCGTCTTTTGAAACATCCAGTATATCAACTGCTGAAATAAACTCTTAAATCATTTCCTCCACCAGTTCCTGTGGAGAATGTTTACCAAGGTTTGTGGTTTGAAAATATATCTTGGTAGTTACGCTGCCAAACAGCAGCAAAGTACAGTACTTTCTGCTTCCATTTTGTGTGCTTCGTATTAGTCATGCCGTCTATATTCAGTATTGTTAAAGACTGGATTGATGCAGGAACCATAATATTTTGAGAAAGGGCCATGTTAAACGACCATACCAGCATGTGAGCAAATTAAAGCTCTTTGAACACATTCTAGGAACTGAAAGTCAGGATATCTTGGCCACTGCTGTATTAACCTTGACCATTATCTTCTTTAATCTGTCTCTTGTGAGTCCTCCAACATTATTAAAGCACAGGTCTAAATTGCCAGAATACTCTTTTAACTACAAATGAAGTATATTTAACGTTTGTGCTGACCATGTATGCTGTACAACAGATTGTTGGACATATGTTTTTAACAGTTCCAGGCAGCCATTGGCTTCCATTCATTTTCATACAATATGATGAGAGGAATTTGATAATTGCTTTGCTGTGTAATCTATAGAGGTAATCTACATTAATTTTTATCAATGGAAAACCAAAAATCAGTGTATTGTGTAAGTGTATTGCATTACAGAGAGGTGTTTTTGTTATTTAGCCAACTGTCACTGATGGTACACAAAATGGTTAGCTATAATAATAAAAATATAATATACATATGGAATGAATGAAAAAATTAAAACACAATTATATGCAACTAACAACTATTTTTATTTAATTACTCTACTTTTGTTCTCTTGATTAATGGATTAATTGTACAGTCTATAAAATGTCAGAATATAGTGGCATCTTGAAATCCAGTCTTCTTGTGCAGTCCAAAGATATTCAGTTTACATATGACAGAGAGAGAGCAGAGCAGTAAATCTTCTCATCTGCACAGTCAGTAACTAGGTAATATTTGGCATTTTTGATTATTTCTTTGTCCATCAACTAATCAATTAATGAACTAATTGTTTCAGTTCTCGGCTACAACCTGTTTGATCCAAATATCAGGTGGAGCTTGACAAGTCAGCAGTCATCAGATAAGCATTTTTTAACATTTTGTTTTCTCTCTCTGCAGCATCTTTGGCTTCTACAAGGGGATCCTACCTCCGATTGTGGCAGAGACACCAAAGAGAGCGGTCAAGGTGAGATGAAGGATGTGCACGTTGGTTTGCGAAGCTTCTTGGGTTGTGATGCAACGCTCAGGCTCTGGTTTCACTGTAAACTGCTCCACTATTGAAACCACTCCAACCGCAGTTGCTCTGACATGGTACACACATGTTGATTAAACACATGACACCCTCTGCAATGTTCTGTTGGCTCACCAAATACTGACGTACAAGCATCTACAGCAAGCCTTTCCCTGAGCCCAGCCTTTTGTGTGTCGTGGCACAGAGGGGGCCTGATGCCTGGTATGGAGCTGCTATGTAATGAGATGCTGGAGACGAGGATGTGTGAACTTTTGAAAATAAGCACTCACACTGAGAAGATGGGGTAATCACTCACACAGTGAACAAAGCTGGCTGATGATGAGAAATGTCTGGGGCGAAGAATTAAAGCAAATTAAAGCTCCGATTAAAACACCTCTGTTGGCATTTTGCCCTTCCCTTAGATAAACAAATCAGGTGATGTGTCTCCTTTTGAGACTGTGCGTTACGCAGTTTATACAATACTCACTGAAGTTTACATTTCCGTATGTTTTTAAGGTAGCTACTTTTAATAGCCTGTGTCCTTGTGTATACGTGGGTGTGTTTGTGTGCAGAGATGTCATCTTAGGAATACACTGACTTTCTCACAGCTCATTTATTCTGATCTTTCCTCTGCAGTTTTTCACCTTTGAGCAATACAAGAAGTTGCTGAATTTGACCCCTTTGTCTCCTGGCGTGGTAAGTCTCTGACACAAACACCTGAATACACTCTCACCTGTAAAATAAACACACACACACACACGCACACACACACACACACACACACACACACACACACACACAGGGCCAGGAAGAATGTTGAAAAATCAACATTTCAGTTCTCCTGATAAAACAAAGACAAATGCCAAGAATAATCTTACCAGCAAAATGAATTAATGCAAATGTAAAAACAGTTTTCACTGCCGTTTCATGTTCAAATACATGTATACATGTCATACATTAGCACATTTATAGAATTTATTCATCTGACATTTTTATGTTAGACGTGGTAAGACAATTTTGTGGGAGTTTATTATTGTGACAAATGTAAAACTGACTCAAAGGCGGATAACTGCCTCAAATGAAGGTCATCCCACATTAGAAAGGATAAAAAGAAAAATATTCAAGTGGGGATTAAGTAATGAAGTCCTGGAATAACAATTTTGTTAGGCGTTAAGTACATATGACAACATCCCTGATGACTAACACATTCAAGTGTATCATAGATGGTATAATAAAGGTGACTAATATTCCATGAACCAACTTAAATAACATTTGAGTGTAGTTTAGCTTCTGTTGCATAGCTTTAAAAATGTACCATTCCTCTTGGAGCCAATGGAGTGAACCATGCAACATATGATTATATTGTAGGGCTGTAGCTTTCATTATCTTTCATGATTGGGTTTGTAGTTGGCATTCAGGGAGATCATCTTGGCTAATGACTTCATGTCTCGGCCTGAATCTATATAAGCTTTATTCTACACAATAGAGCAGTCACATAACTGAAGTGAAAAGACCTTTGGTTGGTACTGCTTGTGTGAAGCCAGTGTAACTGGCAGCTCATATGGAGCCATGTTTATTATAGAGGCTTTGTTTTGTTTTGATTTTACTGGCTCACAGTGTGAGAGAATGAATGGTGATTAGCACAAACATAATTTGAAAGCAGGAAAAAAATGACTGTATATAACTAAGACATTCAAATGTAATCTTTTTAAAACATTACAAGCTAATGCAAATAAAGTTTTAATGGAGTGCAGTCTGTACTGTAAATATCGGGAAAATTTTGTTGTGGATATTTATTCCATCGCACTGGATTAGACATGACACAATAACTATAAGACTGAAGTGCAGACCTAAAGCTGGGCAAACACTGTGTGTTTTTATTAATCTTGTAGGTTATGTTAACTCACTCTGCACATGTTTATCGGCCTTTCTGCACAGCCAAAACCTGCAGCTGTTATGCTCACAATGTACAGATCATTTGACCAAGTTGTGTGCTCTCACTGAACATATAAGCATATAATGGAATCCCTGGTGGGTTTAATCCATTGAGAATTCCAATAAAGCTTATTCAAACAAGACAACCGTGTAATCAGCACTGTTGACAAAAATGGAGGAAGGCAGCGTTACTTTGTGCGATTCTACTGAACATAAAGTGAGAAGAAAAAGAGAAAAAATATGGAGCTGCAACTGGAAGCTGCAGACAGTCTGATCTGTATGTTCTGCAGTGAAGTTCAGTTTTATATTGCAGCACAGTCTCAGTCAAGACTACAGTTTTAAGTAAAACACACCGTCCAGCACTGTCTGCACTTTAGTGTTAAGCACATTGAGTTCTTTTGTAATGAGATGTGCTGTATAAATAAAATTGCCTTGCTTTGCCACAGTAAAAAATAGTGATTCTTGCCACTAATAATAATGACACCCCAAACACATTTAACTATTGTTTTTGTAACTTAAACCTCATATATACTGTTTAATTTCAACTAAAGCCAAAATAATGTAATACATAACACTTTCCTAATAAACAGACTCTGCTGTATGTTTACTTGGCGGTTGTTAATTCTGGAGACTGGTTACGCCACAGGCCATAAGTATACAAGTGGTTTCATCCTTCTTGACTAATTTCTGTTATATTGAGTCAGAGTTTTAAGCTCGACAGATTTGTGTTGCTGAGGTGCGCTCGCCACACACCAGCTATTCAGGTGGCAGCCAAGTGTCAGCTGTGATGGATGGCTTACCTGTAACTGAGCGCTCGGGCCATCCGGCACAGCGCATATCCTCGGCTTGTTTTCACAGCCATTGGTGGAGAAATGTTTACCTGTCCCATCCATCATGTTCTCTTCTCCCTCCTCTTCCGCCTCCTTCTCACTATCTTCTTCTTCCTCTTCAAGTGCCTCCAACCCCATTTGCCTCAGAGGCCCGTGTATATCAAGTACTGTAATCACATCTGATCATTAGTGCAAGTAAATTACAGATTGGTTCCGAATGGCTCTCTCTCTCTCTCTCTCTCTCCCCTATTCAGTATGGCACAGCTGAATGCCTTCACTCTGATTAATGAGGACACACACAGTAATAACACAAATAAGGAATTAAAACGTGGCTGGCTGGCTGTGTAAACATCGTGAAGCATGTCTGAGAGGATGGGTCCCGGGGCTCTGACAGCAGGATAAAGAGGCAGGAAGAGTAATGAGCTATAGACACGTTCTTGACATGTTCCCATTACGCTTCTCTCTGAGCTCACATGCACGCACACATGCACACACTTACATGCAGACATAGACAGCTCCATAAAAATGCAAGTAGTGTTGCTACATCTATAGTTAATTACTTGTTTTGGTTATACATTTATTAAAAAAAAAAAAAAAGTGTGCTTATTGCATCTTATATCTCATTGGATGTTACTAAATGAAGTGAAGCTCTTTGGTTGTTAGAAAATAATTGATTCTTTTATGCTCTCTGACTTTGTTGAATCTAATTTTCCACCTTGTTGATGATGAGCCTTAAACGCCTTGCTGCTTTTTTCACATTCCTATTTCTTTCTTTCGTCCTCCCTCCTGTCATCTGACATTTTGTCAAATGATACCAAACACAGGTGTCTTGTGCGTCCTCAAACATTTGTCAAAGAATAACAATGACAGCCGTGACAGAAACAAATGTCCGTTTCCAACAAAACAAAGAGACTCGGGGAACAAGTTTTCAAAAACGAAACTATGACTCAGCGGCGGGTTCTTTCAGCTCGGACATATTGGCAGTCTTCCTTATTGTCTATTCTGTTCTGTCTCTACCCAAATATTAACTCCACATTCTCAGTCCTAAATCATGTCCACCCCCCCACCCCCCACCCCCAGGCGCTGTCTGCAGCAGGGCTTGGCGCAGGCTTGACTGAAGCTGTTGTCGTCAATCCATTCGAAGTGGTGAAAGTCAGTCTCCAGGCCAACAGAGATTCCTTCAAAGAGGTTGATAGAAATAAAATACTGTCTTAACTTGTAAAGTGTTGGTAATGTGCACATTTCACGAGAGGCCCAGTGGTTTTGCATCAACCCTTGACATGTCCTCCTTTTGAATTCACTCTCTCCAATTCAGCAACCGTCCTCATTCTCTCAAGCCAGACGCATCATTAAAACGGACGGCTTCGGACTGAAAGGTCTGAATAAAGGATTAACATCAACATTGGGACGCCATGGAGTTTTCAACATGATCTACTTTGGCTTCTACTTCAATGTCAAGGATGCTATTCCCACCAACCCGGTAATATGCCAGTCAAAATCTATGATCACACTCCGACCTCCAGGTCTGTCTTGGTTGTTGCCCACAAATGCAAAGACAAGTGACAGACACACTCTTTAGCTTTGCTTTGTTGTTTGTAACCTTGACTACATCAAATTTTCGCTAACCTCAGGCAATATGATACGCACGTGTCCCAGCCACCTCGCCAGTGGGGAATAGCAAGTGTTTGACAGTGTGATTAGTTAGCCTGAATGCCACAGCAAGGAGGAAGCAAAAAATCAGAGAGGAGCTTGTAAGATCAGTTCCACTAATACCTCGTCTGTTTATTCATCATAACATCCTCAAAGTCTCAGATTACACATCCGGCAGAGCCTGATGGCCCAAACAAAAGTTAATTTTGTTTAATGGAAACGTTACCATACGCCAGTCCCACATGTACAAACTGGAGCATTAGATTAACTCCAATGAACTAATTGGAAGCAGACAACGGTACTATTTTCAAGAGGAGGTTACAGTGGGAGCCCAGGCTCTGCTATATTTTCAACATTTTTCCAGTGACGCATGATGTACAGAGAACCAAGTGGTCATCCTCTGTGAATGATAATTATGTGGCTAGATGACTCAAATAGCTCTGTTCTCAGATTGTGGCCGTCGCTTTTGGGAATGATCCATCGGTATGTACATTGATGGAATGATTCTGTTTGTGAGAGGCTAACGACGGCCATTGTTGAGGCAGCAAAGAATAAATATTGTGGGCTCTGACAGCTTACAGAGTGAGCTGATAGTGGCATTTCTCCAAAGCTCTTTTGTCAGCAACATGAGCAATGAGCTTGCAACTCAAACATGTCCGCAGTCAAATTCAGCCGGCCGAGCCCAGGCTTCTCTCGTATCGCCATTTGAATAGTACAGAAGAGGCAGATAGCACACTGCCATCATTCACAAGTGAATGTGTGAGGTGATGTTTGCTTAAGGCTGTTAGGAAGTGGGTTGATGGGTGTACTTAGGCAGCGGGTACGTTACCCCCTTCCCCACATCCCACTTGAAAAAAACAGAAGACGTGGGATTAGCTGTTGATTTACCTCGACTCTCAGGGTGTCCAGCCTCTTGAGAAAGGCCTGGACCAGAGAGGCTGCTGTCATTTGTAAAAATATCCTGGCCAATTAGCTGTCAGAGCTCTCTGAGTCTGGGCTTCTTTGGTACAGTAATACCCCTGTGCCGAGTCACAGCCCAATTACCCAAATTGTCCCCATATGCCTCCCCAGTCTGCCTGCATGAACCCTGTTTATAAATCCTCTGTCTTGGCTCCCCAAAGAACATGTGCTTCTGCTCAGCCAATCAGAAGGCTGCACCACAGTCAGGAAGCACTAATCTGCCCCCCGCTACCATAAAATGATCAGGGCTTTCATGCCAGCTTTGCAATCATATGCACAAGCCCCCTCATGCCCTCCTCACTTTCACTCACATACATACACACATAATGTGTCACCATTTACTTTGACAACTACTTTACCTTTAACACCTGGTGTCTAGAAATGTTTCCAGTAAAATTCTGCTTGCTCACTGCATGTAAGCCGCACACAAATACTTCATTTTAATCTTGTATCTCCTCTTCTTTCACAGGACCCTACCCTCGAGTTCCTGAGGAAGTTTGCTATTGGTCTGGTGTCTGGGACCATCTCCTCCTGTGTGAACATTCCCTTCGACGTAGCCAAGAGCCGCATCCAAGGCCCCCAGCCAGTGCCAGGAGAAATCAAGTACCGCACCTGCTTCCAGACCATGGCCTTGGTGTACCGGGAGGAAGGGTATGAACAAGGCGGGGGTGGGGGGTGTTGGTGGGGGGGTAATAAGTAGGAAATCCTCAGGACAAAATTTCAAACACTGTCACTGGTGCATCCGAGAATTAATGAGCCACTTTGTCTGTTTGGTTAGGAACTGATAGTTGGTTATCTTTCCAGCTCAGGGAGACAAATGTACCAGCTGCTGCTACAAGTTAGACGAGTTTCATTGTGCGGTGTGAGTTTCCCTCACTAACTGCAGGGGAGGTGCATGAACAACTGGATGCAAAGCCGTGATCTGATGAATGGAAACCAAAAAATGACGTTAGATTTCCGGGCTGTATTCCCCACGTGTGTGATCACACATTTCTGCAGTCTGTCAGTTGTACAGTAAATGTTAACATATTTTCGAGCCTCGGAGAATGACAGCTCTAAATGGAAGCTTCAAGGAAAGATCTATGTTATGTTAGCAATTGCCCTAGGCTTTCCACTTTCCCCCATGCAGCTCCTCTAGACAAGGGCCAGCGAGATGTTTGTAGTTAGTGGACGCAGGAGCCTTGGGGGCTGCTGCAGGAACAGCACTGAAGCGTTGTCGTCGCAGGGGTGCATAGAGGCCGCCCCCTCCGCCACATCCAGTCCCCTGCTCTAACACAACACAGTCCCAGCTAATTAGTGGTCCCTATGGGAGACGTTGTTAAGCAGACCCTAACGAGCCGCGCGGCGCTCCACAGGTCAATCTAATCAGACAGAGGGCCAGGGAGGAAGTGGGTCGAGCCTTATTAACGCCATCAGTGGCGGGGGCAGGGAGCAGGACAGGGAGCACGAGGCGGAGGCAGGCAGCCACTGATCACCTTGAAAGCATTAAGGGGCAGGTACTCGCCAGCGCTGGCCGTTAGACTTCAACTATGTACCTGACTGGGTGAGAGGCAGGCAGACCAGAAGACAGACAGACAGGCAAGCACACCTACACATTCACATGCAAGTACACGAGTACACACACATATACGAAAGGAATGTGTGGAAGAAGTATTCACATTTTTTTACTTAAGGAAAAGTAGCAGCACCACAGTGAAGAAATACATTTTTTTACAGTTACAATTTGGCCCTTTTCAGAATAATGTATATAAATGTATTAGATTTTAATAATGTATGCATTGATACATTGCTTTAATGTTTCAGTTGGTAAAGATGGGGCTACTTTTAATACTTTAAAATACCACTGTGTAGATTGTGAATTTTTCCCCCCAGGGATAATAAAGTTTTATTTTATCTTAACCTAAAATAATTCATCATAATTTATCTGTTGATTATATTTTACTTTAAGAATTTGAATCTGCAAAGTAACTACTAACTGATGTTATCAAATAAGTGTCGTGGAGTTGAAATATAAATTTGTAGAAAATTGAAAAACTCAAGTGAAGTACAAGTACCTCAAAACTGTAAATAAGTACAGTGCTTGAGTAAGTGTGCTCTGTAATGTTTTACCACTCCGTACATGGATTAGCATATCCTATACCAAGACGAAATCTTTACATGAGATCTTTACATTTTCATACTTGTAACTATAATATTTACCATATTATACCATATTAATGTCTCTTTCTCGTTCTATAGGTATCTGGCACTATACAAGGGGTTGGTGCCCAAGATAATGAGGCTTGGACCAGGTAACCAAAAAATGTCTTTATATAGATATTAAAATTGTCATTATAACCACAGATTGTCAGTTACAGGTGAAAAGCATTTGAACCTGGTCTGATAGAGCTTGTTCGAATAATAGATTTTGAGATTTGTAATTAAACTTATTTATTTAATTAATTAATTAATTAATTAATTAATGCCCAGGAACTCAAATGATTAATTCAGACAGAGCTCCCCGAATATCATTAGTGCTACATTCAACTTCAAATGAGGCGAGGACTATTTCCTATCAGACATATTCATTGTAACCATTTTGCATAATTTACTCAACAACATCTTTTTTTTTTATATTTATGTAATGTTTGAATGGATATATTGTGAGCTAGAGACACTGTTCCCTTTCTATACAGAGGCTGCAATCTTTTGATGTAAATCTATTCAATATCTATAAATCTTTCCTCTGAATCTATATTTTACATCACATGACACTAACTGTTAGTTTCTATTGGTCGAGTAGCTACTGATGCTGCTTATCCATTCTGATGTTGTGTTACAGGTGGAGCAGTGATGCTATTGGTCTATGAGTATGTATCTGGATGGCTACAGAAGAACTGGTAAAAAAAAAAAAAAAAGGAAAGAAAGGAAACCCACGAGAGTGCCTTATGGATTGTGCCTCAATGCTAATATCGTTACCTGACTCCAGTAACGTCAGACCAAATTAGTTTTTCTTTGTCAGTCAGTTTGTTTACCTTGAATATGCAATACTGCTATTCAAAATACCAAATCAACATTTCAGTTTATTCTAGAAAGCAGCTGTCTAAGGAAAAACTCACATCTTCGTCCAAGTTAGTTTTTGCAGGAAGCTGCAATAATTGAAAACTCAAAAACACATTTCTATATTAAAAAACAAAAAAACAAAACAATTGATTGAAAAGTTTTAAAAGCCCTGAAAACCCATTTTCTCTATTGCCTTCTTACTATTTGCAATGAGCACAATATTTTCTTCCACATTTAGAAGAGTTTTGTTTTTTTCTCACATGACACATTTAGGTATTTTGTGTTTTTCTCTGTGTGCTCTTCTCATTGGTTTTTACTGGGGGGGTGCTTGGTTGGAAAAAAAAATATGTCACGTACATCTGTGAACCAATCAGAGTTAAGCAATATTTAAATCAAAACCTGAATCTGAACAGTTGAGGGGCTGTTTAACTTCTTGAGTCGATCTCATGAAGCATAATGATAATGAACGTTGAACTTTAACTCTGATTGTTGCTCTTTTTTTAGTCATGAATGCTTCATTTTATAGAGAAATTTCTGATATTTGAAATCAGGTTTTCATGGGCTTTAATGTTCAAATGAAATAAAACAGAATGGAGTGATGGCATGTTCATAGGACAATCACAAAAAGTCTTACAAAATTAAAAAGAACTAGACTCACAATAGAGTACTTCAGTGTATATCATCATTATATAGCTGTTCATGTTAGCAGAGCCGCAGACCAACCTGAGCAGAGCTCTGCTGGACACCGCGGATCACCCATCTCCATCCAATTTAACTCGTATCTTAAAGTAATCTGCTCATTAAGGATCTTTTTTTTTTAAGTTGGCAACAGTACGCACACTACAGCCGTGGAGTGACGCACACATGTCTATACGCACACATACACACTGTCTGTACGTATACGTCTTCGTGTACACCACACATACAAGATCGCCAATACATACTGTGATCGCAACCACAATACTGAGCCTTACTGTGTATTTCAAACGAAGCAATAAGCTACAATACTGCCTAATAATGCTTAATGAGAGTGTATGTGTGTAAAATAATTTTTTAAACACTGATGTTGCAGCCTGGTGCAGAACTTTTTTCAATTAATATCTTTTTGCACGACTGTTACTTTTATGTGCCTTCTATAAATGAGACTAGAATGAAATCTTTATTTCCAAAGCTTTTATTAGTAAGAATATTGTTAATTTGACATTTTTTAATTCTAAATTTAAAATGTTAGAATTTGTGCACAGTCCACTTACATGTATTGGTAACAAATAAAAAGGAATAAAATTAAAGTCCTCACTTGTTTCCTCACTGTGTGTTGGGCGTTGGTTGAGCACTTGTGTGTCCTGTAACCGTAAGTTTGTGTTGTTGCATGTTTGTCTTCTCTGGAAGCATTTCAGCTTGGCATTGATGTAAGCGTATCACTTTCCATCAGTTTACCACTTGTTCACCCGCCTCCTCGTCTTTCCCCCATCACAGCACTTTGTTGTTTGAGAGCCTGTCAGCCAGTAGACGCTGCACTTGCCAACCAAGTGTCAGTCTTTTCTCTCTCGGTGGTGGGGAGTCGCTGCCTGAGCATAGCTTTAGTGCAAGCTAAAACAACAAGCTTAAGAAATTCAAATGCGGCTGCAGGACTAGGGGGGGTTACCGCACACATTCTCTCCCTCTGCCAGTCTGTCCTACACAAATATGCACACACACACATGCAAACACGCACACCTGTTGCACAGCCTTTAGGGGTAGTGGCTGCTACTCTCTCTCTCTCTCTAAGAGACTCATCTTAACCTCATCTGGTAGTAGCATATACTGAGCCACGTTGGCATTTGACAGTCGTCATTAATGTGGGAGTTTCTCTCCACCAAAATGGAACGGCTCCTGGTTTTTTTGCCCCAGGGGCCTGTGGTGATAGACAAACAACTGTGGCTTGCAGACTGATCGAATTGTAAGCGTTTAACCTGTCCTTTCTGTAATGGAGTGCTGAATGTGTATTTGTTTCAGACTTGACAGCTTATAACATGTGCCGCGTGTATTGATGGTAGCTAAGCAACACAGCCACCCTTCACCTGGATTCCCAGCACGCCACGCTGATGATAAATCTTCAGTAGCAAAGTCCCCCTTCTCCTCATTTTCTTTACACCCTCTCCATGTATGATCCTCATCTTCACCCGTAACATTTCAATCAAGTGGCTCCACACTGACAGGCCTGCGTGGCTGTGCCTGTCTTTCCCAATGCAGACATGACTGATGATTAATGTATATTAAAATGTCCAGGATTCACACCATGTGTTTAAAAAAAAAAAAAAAAAAAGTGATTCATGTCAGTGTGATTGAACACGGCAGCCACATGTGTACATACCAAAGACACGGAACCAGACATGTTGTGATTTTCCAAGCACAACCGATTTTTTTCTTTCTTTTTTTTACTCACCTGTCTGCACAGCTCTGCTGTTTTAAGGCATTAAGAAAACAATCTGGCTGTTGTCAGCTTCTTTTAAAAATGCTCATTGAGCAGAAACACGCACGAAGTGCCGCGTCCACCCAGCGTTACATACTCTGCTCTGTGTTACTCTGCAAATGGCTGTCTTGTTTCTGATTGCATGTGGAGAAGTAAAGATAACCATATGACACTGAAGTCAGACTCAACATCATTAATTATAAACACGTGTCTGCCCCTATTTTTAAAACTATGCCTTTCAGACCTTGCTTCCTTAAAGCTGACCAACATTAGACTACAAGAACGAGGATTATTAGACTTTCGAGAAGCTATTCCTCCTGTCTAGAAAACACACTGTTCCTATTTTTTAAATACTGGTGTCAATTAAGACAACCACATTTTAATTTTGTTGTGTGAGTCAGAGGAGGCTAACAAGACTGTGCTCAGTTCATGTAGCTTAGTTGAAAGGAAAAGTTGTTTGGCCTTGTTGTGTGTAGGCTGAGGTAAAAAAAAAAACAAAAAAAACAAAAACAGCATGTTACGACTTTTTTCATGCCACTCAGAGAGTTAACTATCATTAGCTGTACGTGATGGATGGTGGATGGTAAATGGGGGTAGGCCGTGAGCACTGGCTGGTACAGCGACTGTATGATCATCACGTCCCTGTGATGTGGTTCACATACGGTCAAAGAAACACTACGATCCCTGAGCAACGGTCCGTGACCACTGGATGCGGGGAAGAGTGCTTTCCAAGTCAAATCAGCCCTTGCATGGGGAAGACTGTTGACACTGTCGCATGGAGGGACTGTTTATGTTGTAACACGGGAGGAATGGGAACGTGCAGCCATAACCAAAGCAACCAGCTCCTGAACCCCCAGCAGCAGGTAATGCCTTCTAAAAGAGCAGGTGAGCAATTTTATCAAGTTATCAATCTACAACTTCATGTCCACACTGGAGCCCGTTTTGTTTAAATCCCCTGCTTTCCCACTGCAGGGCTAGACGGGGCCTGCCAGACTCGCTCGTAATTTATTACTCTTCACTTTCCCCCCTTTTAAAACTTTCAGAAAGTATTTTTGCATCATTTTGCAAACATGTCATTTGTCAGCTGGCCTGCGTACTTTTCTTTTGTAATGAACATGTTGGCTTGGCCCTGACAAGCCCTAGTTGGTCCTTTTGTGGCTGCTGAAGGTTCGAGTTAGGGTCACATGTCTGATGACCTTGGAGACCGCAGGCCAATGAGCCTATTTGTGGCCCTCTTGAATGTACATGGACTCCACCTCACGCCAGGAGTCTGGGAGTCCCCAGCACACCGATCTCATAGTAATGCAACAGTGATGATCTAATTTACTCTTACACGCGCCTAAACCCCAATGCAAAATTGCTTGTCACATAAAACAGTTTAAAATGATTGGAAATTATAATAAATGACAGAAGAACTTTGCTATTATTTCCACAGGATAAAAGGGCTAAAAAAAATCAAAGCACTTCCTTATGAGATATTTACTCAAGGCAGTGATTTCTATACATCCAAATGAATTAACAGTGAAATTAGGAAATGTATATTTAATAATGCTACAGCGTTTTCTATTATAATTTCACCCAATGTCATTTTGTATCATGAATAAAAAAATATATAATTACATTTCTTTGTCACTCAGCTAATACTTATTATAATTTGTACAGAACGTACTTGAGAGGTCACGTACCTGATCTGTGCTATTAAAAGAATGGCTTTATGTGGTGACAAACACTGCGCTCATTCTGATGAGTTTTCCTAATGAGCCATGAAATGTGGTAATAGAAAATGCACGCACACATTTTTTTTATGAAAAGCAGTTTCCTGCTCATGTAAAACAGGCTGTAGGCTACTTCACCCTGAATTTAGCATAGCTACACTGCAAGAAAGAGAGAGAGACAGGAAAGATGAATATTTCTAGCTGTGCTACACCTCATCTGTTCTCAGAATAAAAAATATTGAGGATTTCCTCCCAAACAATCGGCAGACTTCATGAAGACCAAAAACAGCCAAACAATTTAATAAGATACATTCAATTTCATTGTGCAACATTTGTCAATTGTTACTGCTCTAGACTCCAACATAAGACCAATGCCAATTTTGTCTAAACGTGCGTGGAGATTCCCATGCTGTCTGTGAGGCTAATTGCACTTCATTCAACGTACCTTGATCTAATAAATAAACTTCTCTCTGGAGCTCTTGCACAGGCTACATTTTTAGAGAAGCGGGAAAACAATGCACCATAGGACAGTTACTTTTATCAAAACATAACACCAACAACAAAAAAAGCATACAAACATAAAAAAAACAAAAAAAACAATAGCAATTAATAAGCACCCTGAAACACTAATGCAAAGTTTTTTTTCCCTCTTCTTTGATTGCTTATTCTTGAAGTTATACATTACCCCATTTTGCCCAAAGACATTTGCAGAAGTGTGCAGTAAAGAATCTGAGAGAAATTGTGTTGATGGACGGAGTAGCAGTCATACATCAGTCCTTCAGTACACCTGTCCTGCAAGTTCTTTCAGACAAGTTTGTGGTAAAAAAAAATTGACAGACTGTTTATTCCTCGTGTCTTTGGTCTGAGTGTGTATGGCAGGGAGCAGGAGGAGGAGGAGGAGGGGTCACACACACACACAGCGGCACAATATATGGGTCCTGGGGCCGAGTCCTTCATAGAAAGGAGGCGGTGGGAATGAAGTGAAGCCACAGGGGACAGACTTGGTGTCTACTGTCCTCGCCATCTCTCGCTCCCCCCTCCCCCTCCCTCTCTCTTCCCCCACACACACTCTCTCTCTCTCTCTCTCTCTCTCTCTCTCTCGCTCTCTCTCCCATCAGTCTGTGGGGCTGGCTTCACAGCACCGAAGCGGTGACCGGGTGGATGGTGTCACGGTTGGCTGTCATGCTCTTGAAGGCCAGAGGGGTGGCGATGTCACAGCTGTGGGGAGATAGAGCACTGCCACTGGCCGGCTGCCATGTGGGTCCGGTCACATAGGCCGACGTGGTGGCGCTGTACCCCATGTAGGGTGACACTTGGGTGGGAGGGTGGTAGGGAGGGATGCTGGGTGCTGTGACATAGCTGTTCACTGTGGGCAATCCATTCGGCGTCTGGGAACAAAAGAGAGGGTGAAAAGGAGATTAGCAGGTGAAGATCTGTATTAAAGGCCTGAAAGGTAACTGTTGATTTGTTTTCTGGACTCCCTGCTTGAAACAAATCATAGTTAATCATTTTCAATGTTTGGTTTTCCTTGAAATTGGAGGGAAAAAATAATTATTTGCAATAGAATGCCTCTTAAACAGTCTAATTATTACAAATTATTGAGATGTAAAACTTCAAATTTCAGCTGTTATTTAGAGACTCCAACCCAGGTAGACATACACAAGCTTGCACATGAGTTGTAATGGAAAAAAGCTGAGGCCAGCTGTAAAGAAAGTGAAAGGAAAAGTGCAGTTGAATTATAAACAGCCGAGACTTAAATCCTAACTTCACAGCCACCACATAAAAAACCCATTTTCCCAATTTTGATGAAAGTATGAATGATCAATTATGCGCTCTCATGCCCCTGGAACATATTAAGCATGTATAAAAACCATACATGCATGATTGCCCGTCCGTATGTGGGACTTGTTTTCTACCCAGAGACTGGACATTTCTCCGGCGGCGTTGATATACCACGCCAGACGATGGGAGACAGGGTGGTTGGGGGGCGCCACAAAACAGATGTCATGAGAGATTGAGAGTGAAAGGGCAGGAAGAGGGGAAATATGATAGAGAATGAGGCGAGCATAGAGTTTGAAGCATGAATGGGCTTTGCTTCTCTGGCACGGCGACAGGACTTAACTTGAGGAATTCACCAAAGCATTTCAACAGGGAGGCCGAATTTCTGTTCATGGGTGGTCTGTGACTACTGAGAATTATTTCTACAATTGGGATCTTTTCTGTTCCTCTGACTTATTCTCATAGATGAGTGCGACTGGCAGAGACGCAGGCTAGTTTTTTTTTTGTTTTGTTTTTTTTTTAGAAAATCAATATGTAAAATTCTGCTCTGAGCTGACATTTGTGGCCATTATAAAAACCAAACTATAGACAGAGAACTGGATTTGTGTGTACGCGTGTGCCTGTGGGTGACTTTGGGTGTCTGTGGGTGTTTGTATGTCTTCACTTGGCTCAATGATACTGCAGCTTAATTCATAAAATGCGGCACTGGCTTTTAGCTGTGTTTAAAATAATGTTTGTTTTTTAAAAGTGCAACATTTTTCCAAAGATTATCACATCATCCACTAATGAAATATATCACACACACACACACACACACACACATATATACATACGCACTGTGCACACACACACACACACACACACACACACACACACACACGACTCTACTGTACAAGTATACAAAATAACAGGAAACACCTTTGAGAGCAATCCACTTCTACAAGAACACACTGACACTAACTACAGCCTCAGAGACCACAGACTTGAATCAACACCTGTCTGACACAAAGTCAACAAAATGTAAAAGGTTTACAGAGAGTGTATTTGTGGCAGTTGTCCTGTGTTAGATTGCATTGTTTGTTTAGGTGTACCTGTTATTTTGTCCACACCTCCTCCACCACCCATTGTCTAGGTGAATATACTTCTATATGTACTTCTATCCTAGAATTTAAATATGATTTATTTTTAGAATATACAGTAAAATATATTATCTGACATAATAACCTACAATTTGTATGTCTTGCAAAATAGTCTAAGAGGGTCTTATTTATAATAAATTAGTTTAAGTTTATCATTTGTTTATCAGAGGATATAATAGACTCTATAATATTAATATTTGAGGTTGTGTTTTGACGCCTTTTTGAGTGACTGTTAAACCAGATTTGAATAATGACTAATAAAAGCACTGACGCCATTCGCGCAAATAATTACGCCTCAGACGGATTCACCTCGTCACACTGTCGTCTCATTGTTTATATCTCCGATAAATCATTAAAACCGTTAAATATTCAAACGCGTATTAATCACAGCCAGAACAAATATTAAACGACATTAAATACACACATTTGTTGTTCTGAACGTGACCTTTTCCTGGCTGTTTGAATCTTTTTCGAAACATTAACCGATTCAGCCCCGCGCCGCCGCGTGCACTGAGCTCGTGACTTAATTTTACTTTGATGAAGCGCTTCTTCTTCATCATCTCCTCCTTTTTCTTCTTCTTCTTCTTCTTCGAGATAGAAAAAAAAAAAGAGTGAGTCCCTTGGGTGCATCTGCCCGCCCTGCCCTCAGAGCAGCGCCTATAGGCCACATGTTACTAACCGCAGCCTTTGGCCTTACACAGACATGAGAGTGTGTGATTCAGGCCTTCTGATACTTGACAAAAAGTTTTAGTGTCCCATTTGAGTTAACGTTACACTGACAGTCATCCTCGGGGAAAATATAAAAAATTAGACTTATTGCTATAAGAAAAATATAGGGGAAAAAAAACATGAAATCTTGCTTTAAATCTTGGAAGCAAATGAATTGTGGTTTGAAAACTTAAGCTACTTCTGTGATATTTGAACGCGATCACTGCATGACATGACATCTCTCTCTCTTTTACTGTGTCTCTGTCTGTCTCACAGACACAAATCACACATCCATTTAACATTAGATCTCAGCAGGCTGCACTAGATGCCCGTATAAAGTCTGAGTGACACAGGCACGGTTAATCTTCAGTCTTATGGTGGAACAGTACTTCCTTCACCATTCTTTGTTTTTCATGCAATAAACTCTGTAATTTATAGACTTGTTATTTTCTACATTTAATGGCTCACTTCTGTTTTTGTATAGCTGGCTGGCTAACCGCTCAGACAGTTGCTGTGTCCGCTTTGAACGCTCCCTAATCTCAGAGCATCGGCCCTGTTCACCGTGTAATGAGCATGAACAGTCCACCGTGATAAAGTGGCAAAATAAATTATGCGGCATGAAATTGTTTTTTTTTTTTTTTTTTTTTTTTGTCTGTAACTAGAATCCGCACGCTCTGTCAAAACAAGAGGACCCAAAATCAAGCACGCATGCGCGCGCGCACACGCTGTCATCATAGCATTTCATTTGTTACCAACTTTAGAAAACCAAAATAAAAGCTTGCGAAGAGACGTTCAGATAAACGACCACAATCAGTTTTTGATAGAAAAGCAAAAACAAAACAAAAAAAATTAATTAGACGTATGACGAGTCCTCACCCTTTAATATTAGGAAATTTAAAAATATTTTAATTAGCCTATGAGCCTAATGCAAATGCGTGTAATTGGTGGTCGATGGTTGTTAATCTCGATCGTGCTTTATTTTGTAAAAAGTCTGATTCATGTTTGTCTATCGACTTTAACAACTCAGTGAAAAATAATTAATGTCGTGAAAGTTTAAACCTACACACAATTGTTTTAAACTAAAATATTAGTGTAGAGCCTATACTGTATTTATTCGCAAAAAAAGGAAAAAAAGAATAACACAAACTGTGCAGTGGTCAATGTTCCTTCTTTGGAGTTCAGTGTCTTGGCTCAAAACTTGCATGGACTGCATTTAAAACACTAGAATTATTCATCAGGAAAACGACAACAGACTTGGCCTTTACTATGAGTTCGCTGACTTGGTTTCTGAGTGTTAAGCTCGCTGCCCAACAAGCTGGAAAACAAAACTCAAGAGAATAACTAGGCTCTCCAGAATCCTTTAACCTACTAATTACGACATAATTCACACTGTAATGATTCATAAAAACACTGACCATGCAGCAGGACCTAGAGGAAGTGCACCTTGTAAAGCCAGAATAAAAAGTAATAAGAGATTATTTTAAAAAATGCACCCATTACCAGCTAGCCAACAGAAGGAGCGCATTAATACTGTGAAGGGGGAAATTTCCAGGCCACATAATTATTAAAATGTTATTTAAAAATAAAAAAAATAAAATAAGACTGCCATTAGATGGATAGTCTGATTGGCTGACCCTAGACTTCTAGACTAGATTGTTTTTGCTTTTGAGGTTACAAAAAAAATGAGAGGTGTCCATTTTTTACCTGTGTGTATTTTGCTTCAGGTTCTAAATGCGGTTTATCCACGCCATTGACTAGTGGAGAGCTTGCTGGTGGGAAATTAGTCCTGTTTATAGCGCTCCATTCTTCTAGTTTGGCGCTGGAAAAGGATGGACTGTCACTAACTGGGGGGGCAAAAGAGAGAGAGAAGAGAGAGAGGACAGTCAGAGAGAGGTTTTTAAGATGAGCGGGAGAGAAGAAAAAAAAAAGAGACCCGCACAGGCCGCTGCTTCTCATACAAACATCAGGCCCAGATTAGCCTGGTTGCATGAGCCATAATAAACCCTGTGACATTTTGCACTAAAGCTCGGTCATTTGTCATTTTACGCACAAATAGCTCATATGTCAATGTTCTTTCGTGTGCGCAAAGTTTGTTCTGTTCTTAACCATTTAAAGTAAAATATTAGTTTTAGTATCTAATACAAAGTTAATATCATCTAACACTGAGACTTGATTTAGATTATTTTTCTTTCTAATTGCCTGCGAGTGAGATAATATCTTCTTAAGATATAAGCCTGAGCGAGTCTCTGCTGTTTCATTTTCATTTTCTTTAACCATTAATCATTAAACTTGATCAGGCGTCACATTTTTTTGTGAAGGATTTTTGACTAAGAACATTGACTAATGAGAAAAAGCGAAATTAAATGTCACTTTTTTTTTACACTTGCCTTAAAGAAAATGAGAAATGAGTTTAGACTGAGTGAAACTAAATGTTTTGGTTCGTCGCGGAGATCAGATTGAGGCCCAGGTGAAGATGGTTAGAAGTAAGGCGACTCTCTGGTGGGTCAGGGGCATTTTAACCCACTAAAACGTCTTCCTGTCGGGGGACAAATTAGATTTACTTTCACCGTCTCCCTCCTTTGTGCGTGATGGATGTTCTATAATCCACCATCCCCAGCGTTTACACTGGGAGAAGCAACCAAGAAGTTAAAAAAAAAAAAAAAAGTATGGTGTTGAATAAACCCGCTGTATTTTACTCTGGCCTGCAGTGTGTGTGTCCGAAGCGCGTCAAGAAACATACGGAAAATCACTAATAGTTAATAATATTAAGCTTGCACATATTGTCTTAATTTTTCTAATTCTCTCTGCCATCTTCAATAAATTCCAAATGTATTTTGTAAATAATCTGACTGGTGAAATCACTTTGGTGCAAATGAGCTCTCACGTCACCAAGTCTACTTAAAAACTTTAACGCAGCATTCAGAAACCTGCCACAAACATCTGCTAATCATTTGGAAATGCGTAAATTGTTTATAAAGGCAGCCTCTCAGAACACATTCCTCCCCTTGTGATTTCTCGTCGGTACCTGCCTTACATTTGTCTTGTTTAGATTGCCGAGTTAAGTTTTCGCATGGCGGTGGGATGTGGAGAGGAGCCGGGGCGTGTTTCTGCATGGAAGCCCTGAGTCCTGACAGCAGGACTACTTGCAGTGGACTGACAGCGCTTCCCCTTCTGCCTCTGGAAAACAATCTCTCAGAAAATCCCTTTTCACAACACCGAGCCGGCCATTAAACACTGATTTATGCCGGATCCTCTTTCACTGTTTCCAAAACAGTTGTGGTCTTATGGAGTGCAAGCCAAAGCTATCGGGGCCTACCTGCACGTGACACACACACACACACACACATACGACAAAACACAACACACGCAAGCAGAAAAAACGTATGTCGCTGAGAGCTGTCTCTTTCTAAGGCCTGACTCACGGTTAAACCTGCACAATGCGCAGCTCCTGCACAAAATGTCTGGCTCCGAGTCATGGCAAACATTCAGCACACTTCATGCACTTCATCCCACCGCCTTTCCCTCCGCTGTCCCTCTAATATTCCACATCCGCCTCTTAATGATTACTGCAAGCAGGACCATCTGTTTCTGAACTAACCCGCCTCACTTTCAAATCAATATCAGCAGGCCTGCGTGATGTCACTTTTAAGGACATTTTGCATTGCCGTGAACTTTGCCATGACATTTGGTGAGACCAGGCTGCAGCACGCAGGTCAAATGGCATTTAAGCTCCGTCTCCACAGAGGCCTGAGAGTTAGCCTACTTTTGGAGGCCTATAAAAAACAATTAGAAGTAACTCAAAGAGAAAAAAATAAATGTTGCCTCTCTCTCACAAACACACACCCATTCGCACTCTTGCGCGTAAAACCCCTTCAAAAGTTGGATAAATGTAGTGCAATAAACAAATGTAACCGCCCTCCATGCAGCCATGCTTACTTTGTTGCTCTGTAATAGACCGTATCCCCAGAATATCTGTTACAGAGTGCGAGGAAGGCCATATCCTGTGCATGGCCATGTGTCCGGGAAGAGTGGGCATGCCAGGGGGAGTGGGCACTTTGGACGTCGGGTATGAGTATAAGTGGTTGTAGGGTATCGTTGGTTGCGGCGGTGGGTGAGGCGCCTGCTTGCCCGACTCGTACTGGCTCTGCTGGGACAGATTCCCGATCTTGTTGCGGAGGATCCGACTGATGGAGCTGACGGAGGGAAGGTTGAACTTATCGCAAACCCCGTCGGCGAGTAGCCTGTCCCGGATCTCCCAGGCAAAAATCCCCGGGTCTCTCTGCTTGTATGTCCGTATGTGCTTGACCACGGTGGGTGTGGTGACCCGCGGCTTGCTGCCTCCGATGGCCCCCGGGAGGATCGAGCCGGTCTCGTTGTAACGGGCCAGGATCTTGCTGACGCAGCCGTGGGAGACGCGCAGCTGCCTGCTAATGTCACAGGGTCGAATCCCGAGCTGGGCCAGCTCCACGATCCTGAGCCGGATGGCGTTGGGGAGCGGCCTACCGTTCACGAAAACACCACCGAGTTGGTTTACCTCACCGAAGGCTGGCTCTGGTGTCAAAAACAAACACACACAAAACCAGAACAGTGAGACAGCGATTAGGTAACCAAACCGAGGCCCAACACAGATTCCTAATATCCCGGGTTAAAACAGTTAGCTCTCCATACGGTCTTATACTTCCAGCCATGAATATAATTGTATACAGTCAAATATAGTAAATATGTTAAACTTTAAACTATGTTTTAATCGAGTTGTGCCAAGTTTTGACATTTATAAAACCACTGTGTAACCAAAATTCTTTAATACCTAGTTGATTTAAAAATCCATCCTTACGCAATGGTGCTTCTTTTAGCGCTTAAACGGAATATATTAGATATATATATATAAATCTGTTCACTCCGCAACAAAACTTCATCGGTCTGAGTTATGTGAAATGTTTGGGTGAAAAGTACCAACTAAAGGCTGACTGATAGCTGTCGTGCTCACAAGCTAAACTTGACACGGATGTCAAGTAGTCGGTCCCGAGACTCGTGCGTAACTGACACATGTAATAATTCACTCTGCTGATTTCTTCCCTCTGGATCAGCAGCTAAAGTGATCAGTCAAAACATCACAGACAGACAATATCTCGCCATATTTTCCCCACCTTGCCGCAGGACGTTGGACCATTCGCTGCATCCCTGACAAGAAAAAAAAAAAACCGATCCAACACTGAACTCACCCATCGTGTTAAACCCGCAAATGAAGAATACGGTGTCCGGTGTGTGCCTCCTCCGTGGATCCTGCTCCGCGTCCAGCGTGTCCACTGTCCAAAACCGCGTCCAAGAAAATCTTCTTGTGCGATAAGGAACAAGAGGGACAAAATTCTCGATCTGTTTCCTGACGGCGCTGGAGACAGGCTTACATTTCAATCTGTTGAAATCAGGAGGCTGGACTTCCAACGCTTCTCTCCCTCTGATTGGCTGGTCTTTCCAATAGACTTTCGCGATTGCACGGAGCTGATTTGCCATTGGTCCAAAAGTTTGACATGACAAGTCTACAGAGTTTCCCCCCCCCCCGCCCCCTCATTCCTCCTCCTCGTTCCGCTCTTCCATCAGAAAGCAAAGCTGGGGATATACCACCATGAATGCGTTTGTTATTGAGACAGACAAGGGTGAGTATAAAGCAATATCAAGATTTTGGATTAGATCCTCACCTTTATGTGGCACAAAATAAAGAGACGCGCAAAAAAAAAAAAAAAACTCCAGAGGGAGACAATCATAAGGAAATATCACCTGGAAGTATTAATATGTCCAGAAAAACGCATACGTGCGTGTATTTTAACCCCAAGTTTAGTTGTCATTAATTTTATTGATGCTCGTGTTTTTATAACAAGGGTTCATCCTTTCAAAATAAAATAAGCGCCCACCTCTTCTATGGAAACAAAAAAAAAAAGTGGAAAACCTGACTTTGAGTGGCTTTACGCTCCACTACATCACCCTTCATCTCAACCTTTTAAATGGCATCATTAAGGAAATGGGAGGAAATGAATGATTGGTTTTCAGTTATGCAATTTGCTGGGTGATGTTGGTAAATTGTATGTCCGTGCACTCGAAGATTATCACACTTTTTTTTTCATATTTGCCGCCCATGTTTTTACTTTCCTTTCTGCATCCAGCATCGACTTTCACTATGTGAAACACGACAGAAACAAAGTCCTTCACTGGATGATGTTTTACTGAAAAAAAGACGCGATCACAAGCCAAACATGTTTCACCTCTGGAGAGAATCTGTCTGGTCACGTAGCTCGACAGTAAATGGCAGAGTTCAGCCACCGCCAGATTTAACTATCGCGCCATTTTTTGTTTATTTAAATCTTATCTGATTGTGTTGAATGTGTGAAAACGAACACGACACTTAAAGTTGTTGTTTCGAATCAGTAATTTTATCATTTTAATTTCAAATTGTACATTCATTTGATTTGCATTAAGGCTTTGCACCGTAGAGGCCAAATATTGCCTTATTTTTGCCAATTACGCACAGTAAGCGTTAAGGATATGCAGGTTTTTAGAGCCCGTGTATGATAAAGAAATTACACTTTATGTTGCAACCTTTACATAATTACCCATGAGGCTCAAAGTTTGCAGAAAAATATGTTAAAAATGGGATTATTTCTAACTTTACTACCTCTGCACTCATGCACACACGTGTTTCTGTGCAGAAACCCCCACTTGCAAGCAATAAGAGAGATTTGTTACTTCCCGACACGAGAAACAAACACACACCGTAACTTTGAGCTTTCACTCTCTCCCCATTTTGACACATGCTTTGGGTTTTCTCGTGTCATATTTTACAAAAAAAAGGGCCACTGCGCGTGACTGACCTTCATCTCTGAGCAACCTAAAGGGATCAACGTGCATGTAAACATCAAACGGCTGCTCCTATGCAGCCGTGCAATTAGGAATATTGTTGAAAAGCTCTGCTGACATTAAACACCGAAGCTGCTGTGAGGGGCCGAAATGTACACAAAGTGTGTCTCAGTGTTTGTTTCAGCACGCTCAGCTCAGCTGCTGTGGGCTGGATGCTGCAGAGTACAGCCACTATTCCTATATTTTATTTAGTTTTCCCACCTCTTCAGGATGGCATACATCTCTGAAACTGCGCAGATTACAGCGTGCGCCTTAGTACAAGTCAGTCAGCGTTAATTTACGCCTCCTCATAAGACCCGTCTATGTTGTTTACATGAAGGGTTATTTGCCTTAAGACGACCGACTTGGGGGTCTTAGTTGACTCATTTTTTAAAATTCACCACCGTGTCACTGCTTGTGCCTCCACCTGCCCACCCTGCTCAGCTCCCAGGCCGCTAATGCGTCAAGGATAATGTTTACCGTGGGGAAACGTGCTCAACTTGTTTCCACTGAGGTGCCTCTGGTGGCTGAAATAACAAAAGGTCAGCAGCGAGGGATCAAAGGTCTCCACAAACTGCTCCATCTCCAGCCTCTCTGCAGACTGAGCGGACGTGCACCTTCCTCCTCTTTCTGTGCTTTTAATAGATGGTCCGAGCTGAGGATGTGTGACGCTGCAGGCACAGCGGGGGAGTTTATCTGATTAATGACATCACGCAACAACTGGAAATTATCAACATCAAATCGTTGCTTGAATTAAATGATTGCAGGTTGTTGAAATGAAATCATCGTTGAAAAAAATTCAGTCCAATTAAGTGATTATCACACTCTGAAAATAATGGGACTAGATCCAAACACAGCGACTACCATTATTATTACTATTACTATTACTATTATTATTACTATTATTACTATTATTACTATTATTATTATTTTAGTTATTTTGTATTAAGTTATTTTCATGTGTCAAAACTAAACCACGTATTCTGTTAATATAGGCTAATGATGAGGAGGATGATTACAATAATAATATTAAAAATAATAATAATAACTAATAATAATTTTATGAAATGGGGGCTGTTAAGGGGGTTAAAAAAGCTTCATATTTTTGTCATTATCCCGTCAAGATACAGTAAGTTGCAGTCTACATGTATAAGCAATCTTTGATAAATAAGTATCGGAGTTAGAGATTTGTATTCGACTGAAATCCTTTTTTTTTTTTCTTCTTCTTCTAATTTTTTTTTTTCTTTAAATTTTCCTTCCGTCCGTGAACTCCACGCCAGTGCTAACAGGCCTCCACACATGATTTGCAGACTCTACATGGCTGTCACATGCCTGTACTGCTCACAGCCCCAAAATCGTCCATGTCGAATTGAATTGTTCATAGCGCGTGTGAAGGAAACGCATCGCTTGTCAGACAAATTGTGAAACGACGGACTCAAAGGTTCGACAGCGGTTCTCTCAGGAGACCCGGGGTGGACTTATCCGCTCATCTCACAGCGGTTCTCTGGGTTCACAGATGGATGGCAGCAGGCTGATCCTCCTGCACAGTGTCTGCTGTGTGACTCTGCGGCCTGTACATACTACTTACAGTTTGACCAACACAGTTGTCCGCTCTTCAAATTTGCACCATGAGATGAGGGTGCGTTTACATTAAGTTATGAAAAAAACATTACATTTTCTTCTTTAAAATGCGTTTTCAGCGACATCCTGCAGGACGCAACGTGGATTTTGTTGATGTAAGCAGCAGGCAGATGACTGAACACTGAACACACACACTGCTCTGCTGTGTGTCTGGCGCTTTTACGGTTTATGTGCAAAAAAAAACCCCAATACAAATAAACAAATAAACAAACAAAAAACTGCAAAGAAGCGCTTCAATGACACCGTCTCTGTGTCTCGATAATCTGTCACTTAATGCTTGAGGGACACTTTGTAAATAATAATCATACTGACACATATCGTGTTTCTTGCCCTCTTTGCAGCAGAGTGACCTGCAGCCTCTGTGGACCCCGACACATTTTCTGGTTAAACTTGTCACAAAATGTAACCTAATTTTAGGAAATTTTAGGAAAACTTTTGCGTGAGACAGATAATGATCTGTAACTGCGAAATCATAATAGTTCGTTAAAAATTTCTTGGATTAATTGGATGATTTGTCATCATGTTAATTATTTATTTCTCTTGTTTACACACTTGTTCCTCTATTTACCTTTTGTGGAATCTGCAGCAAACGCAACCTCTTGTCTTAGCTGGTGATGAAGCTGAATATACCGCATCTCTGCTGCCTGGAAGTTTGCACTTGTACCTGTTTACATCCCGGCTTTCTTCCATGTGAAAGTTTTTCTTCATGGCTAGAAAGTTCTTATTGACTCAAGATGATGGAAGAAGTGTGTATGGGCCAAATATAGGAATATTTTTGTTGCCTGTTGTTCCATTTTTCTTTCTCTTAGGAAATTTCCTGTATGTTCCATTGAGGTCATGGTCATCCCGCGAGATTTAAAGAGGAAAGGGGTGGGGGCGGGCTATAATGAAGTTATCAGTTTTTCCGACTGACAGCCATTTCAAGGTAAATATGTAAACTATGCATGAATAAATGTCAAATAATGTAAGCTAGATCTTTCCCTCTGATTTGTCTTCATAACTCTAATGATCACTAGGTCATAGTTCACCCACTTTTCAGAGATCAATACTGACACGCGCTCTCTGTCTGATCTTGTTACAGTATAAATATCCACAATTATAAATCAGACAGCGGCTCCAGTCTCCATTTCTCTCTCTGTCATTAGAGGGAGAGGACAAGAACCTGCACAGATCCACCTGAGCGTGTTTACCTCTCAGTACTGTACTTGAAAAACAGCTATAAAGTGTGATGACACAGGCACTCCCTCCTCAGCTATCCTCCTCATGTGTGAGCAAAGTCACTTAACCACCTTTTGTTTTTAATTTCCACATATTCAACAAGTGAAGACATGCGGAACTTTTTTTGTTGTTTTTCCAAAGTGCAGCTCAGACTAAACAGGCTACCTGTCATGGTGTCTAAGGCTGGGGCTGTTTGGTATCAACTCAAATATAAAAACAGGAGGAAAAAAAAATGCTAGTTGCTGCAGGATTTCGATTAAGTCCGATCGAAACAGTATGAGGCACAGTCAGTCTGTGTATTTGTGTGCCTAAACATTTTTTCTTGTCGCTCCCCGTCCAGCTTCTTCTTCTCCTCGCTGGACTGTTGCAGGATCCATGATGTTAAGGTAAATAAGAAGCGGGTAATGGATGTGTGATCTCCACTAAAACAAACCGAAATCAAATGTAAATGAGCAGCTTCTTTATTTAAAAAACAAAACAAAAACGCTTTTCTTCAGTTTTTCCTAATTAGAATGAATCGCATCCAAAATTATACTCTATTACCCAATCTCTATTCTTGAGTTATTACAGTTAAAATATATTCAGGAACCGAATTAATGCGAATGTGCGACTG